CGTCGTAAAATATTTTTGAAATGGAATGTAAAAGAAATGGATAGCAGACAATTAATGGGAAGTTTAAGTTGGAATTAGGCGCAGGAGGGTTGATCGACAAAAGGTAATTTGTTAATAGAATTGCGGATTATGTACCATGAGTGAACCAAAGTTATGTTAAACATCACACTACAACGCAACACGAGGATTATTGGTGACGTCATTTTGAACCTTGGTCAAGTGACGAAGACGACATCTGAACTGGCACCTCCCTTTCCTAACTACGACACACATCAGTGGGAAGGAATTGAGCCTCCCCCCCCCCTATACGGCGGGTCTTCAGTAACACTAAGACTCGAATCCATGACACTTAGGCCCCAAGTTCATGACCATAACGACTAGGCTACCACCGTGGCCATAGGATTATGCACCATAGAGTATTATGAACGAAGCTACATGACGCGCGATGAAAACTGAACGATGCAGTCGATATTTTATCGAATAATGAATACGCTGTTTAGAGCAGAAGCTCTAATAATGATCTATGGAATTTATCGCAAGGGCCATTAATACGAGAATGGGGTTGATGACATTCATGATTCTGAATATTTTTGACAGGTGTTGCAGAAGTCATCGACATTTATTCCTTTATCCCTATTTATGTCAATGACGCGATTGCGCATAGTGTCAAATCATTTGGCAACAATCAATATTCGATAAAATATTTTATTGTCATCCGATATTCATTATTATATTATGTAGATAATAGATACGTAGCTATGATTTATATGCTGACGCGATTTTTTATTATCAGCAACGTTTAAATCTTAAGAAAAACAAAAATGAAAGCAGTAGTTTTAAAACTTTTAAGCACGCGTTTTTCATGAAATACACGAATGGTATCGTCTCTAAAGTAAAATCGATTTCTGAAAAATGCCTCCGATAACATTGTTTCTAAAAGCGGCTTTCAAAATATTTTCACAATTTTCTTTGCGAACCACAGAGATAAATTCAGAAGTTTGTTTTTACAGATTAAATACAAGTAGTATCTGTAGTTTTCAGTGGTGTACACAGGAACTTTTCAAGGGGTGTAGGGGGTCGAAAGTTCACCCTTCTAGTATCATATTCAAATACACTCTATAGCAAAAAAAAAAAAAATCACGCACCAAGAAGGAGTTGCCCGATTGTAATGAAAATTTGTATGCAAAGACATTTGTACCGAACATGCAAATTATTAAAATTTGGTGTGCAATGAATAAATAATGGGAGTTAGAGCGAATCGGAACTGTTCATTCAGCACATGTGTATAAGAAGCGATTCTCAATCTGATGGTTAAAATTTCTGTTGCACTGCGATTTAGGATACCTTTCAACGTCTGAAAAAAGGCCTCTCCGCAGGATTCGAGCTCATTACGAGCAACTGTCAGAGTTTGATAGAGGTCGTATCATTGGATTGAAAGAGGCAGGTTGAGCAAATCGGATAATCGCTCGTCATATGGGTCGAAATGATGCGGCCATTAGAAGATGCTGGCAAGAATGAGTGGACTATGGCAGATTTTAGCGTCAGGATGGTAGCGGTTGACCTATGGCCACAGCAGATTGGGAGAACAGATTGATAGTCAGATGAGCTATCACAGCGCCTGATTAGTCGTTATCAACCATCAGACGTGCGGCCCGCACACGGGTGTCCACCATGACCATTCACAGACGGCTAATAGAACGGAATTTATGCTCGTACCGGCCGCTACACCACCTGTCAATCACGCCTGCACACCGTCGAGCCAGGTTACAGTGGTGCTGGTCTCGATCAGGTTGGAATCATGTTGACTGGGGACGTATAGTGTTTAGCGACGAATCCCGCTTCTAACTGTGTCCTGATAATAATCAAATACGTGTTTGGAGACACCCAGGGCAGCGTGTCGATCCTGCTTTCGCTATTGCACGCCACACAGGCCCCCAGCCAGGAGTTATGGTCTGGGGTGCCCTTTCTTTTGAGAACCCCACCCCTTTGGTCGTCATTAGAAGCACACTTACAGTACAACGGTGCGTCGATGATATTCTGAGGACTGTTTTGCTACCGTTCCTTTTGTGGTACCCTGGCCTTCTTTTTGAGCCAAATAATGCTAGACCACATATGGCACGTGTTGCTATGAGCTGTCTTACAACTTGTCAAACACTTCCTTGGCCATCCAGATCGCCATATCTCTCTCCAATCGAGCATGTATGGGATATGATGGGAAGGTGACTGCATCTACCATGGAATGCTGATGACCTTACACGGCAACTCGAGCAAATTCGGCAAGAAATACCGTAGAAGATCATCAGGGTGCTTTATCACTAAATGCCATGTCGTGTGGCAGCTTGCATCCAGGCTAAAGGTGGGTCAACATCTTACTGAGCTCGTTATTTCGTAACTATGTCACTCTGAAATAAGTCATTCAATTTTTTCTAAAATTTTAATAATTTTCTATTCTGTACATAATCTTTCTACCCATCAATTTTTGTCTCTATCGGACAACTCGTTCTTTGAGCGTCGTTTTTATTTGTCATAGAGAATATATTTTTTTTTGATTTTATCGATAAACGTGAACAAAAACGGTAAAAACTAAATTATTTAATAAATAATTCTTCTTAAGAGCTACAGCAGATTTTCGATCAAGGATGTCTCAGTTAGTTTAAACCATCTTGATCTGTTTAATTAATTAGCATTAATTAGTTACCTAAATGATAATTATTTTACATATTAGATAAATAGAACTGTAAAGAATAAAAATAAATAAATAAAGGGCGATGGGGGTTGGGGTTCTGGACCCTTTCTCTAGAGGGCACCACTAATAGTTTTTAATTACACTCAAATGGCTCATCTCCATCTCATGAACTCCACGTTGGTGGAATGTTTTACATTGAAATAGCAACTGCGCTTAAGATACAAGAAATATATATTTTTTTTTAGTTTAGAGAGATTCTTTATAAGCAAAATAACATTTAGCAATTTAAGAAAAATGTGATAAATTCAAATTTAACCTCTGAAATTTACTTTCCTTTGAATTAAAAGAATTGTCTACAAGCTAAGTAATGGCTAATGCCTTGCCGATGATGAAAAAAGAAATTTTAAAAATTAATAAAACTTCCCTTAAAAGCACTAAATAAGGAATGTGCAATCTGGAAATTTAGTTACTGGGGCTGATTACATGAAATGATTTTGTCAAATTTCTATAAATCCATCTGAAAATGTAAAATTCATAATTAAAGGAGGGTGGTGTGTCGATAATCCCCTTTTTCTTTATATATAATAGTCGTCTTATGTCCTGTGCCTCTATATTTAGAAGGTACAATATAATTTTTGGCTGTCATGAATGAACATGGTCAGAAAAACATCGGAAACAAGTGCTACATTAGCACAAAAAAAAACTGTTTTTTCTTTTTTAAAAGAAAGAGTATTCAGATTCTTTTTTCCTGTAGAGAGCCTTTATTTCCCCGTTTTTCAGTTACACTTCTGCATTGGATTGGTAGGGCTTCAGAGTTAAGCCCGTATGCTAGTTACCACTTAAACCAGAAGTGTTTTTAGGAGTTTTTATATATTTACTCTCTGTTATTTTTTCTTCCTTTATTCTGTGACCAACGGTTTTCTGGGTTGCTCTTTCATGAAGCCCAAATGATCCCACATCGCTTCCATCTTCAAAGGGACGGGCAGGGTTTCTTTTTTTTTTTCAAATGACTTCTTGTATATATATATATATATATATATTCGTGGGGGGGGGAGTGCATTTGTACTCTAGTAATAGAATTGGGACAACAATCCTTTTTCGTATTTTCTGGTTCATTTTCCCCAAAGACGGTTCTATTTGTTGACTAGAAAAACAACTTTTGTTCCACATTTGTACCGTAATTTGACGTGCCAATAGAAGTCAGCCTAGGGTTGTGAGTGCGAGTCTCATTTCCGTAAAATAGCGTTCTGTGCTCCAAAGCTACACAAAAATAACAGAAAGCACTAAAAACTCATAACAGTATCAGTCCTCTTTGCTTTGTTCATTTTCTTTCCATTGTAAATATGTTTCTCTGTTCCGCCAGTAAAAGTTTCTCAAATAGCAGGAGCCAAATCTTCCTCCAAAGGATGCGTCTTCCTCTACGTTGTCAATTGGGTGTATATTTAAGCTGAAGTGTCAGTTATCTGTTGGAGTGAATCTTAGCGTTGCACACGCAAAGGCTATTGGCGACGGACCTCGGTCAAGTGTCGAGGACGATACCTGAGATGGCCCCTCTTCTCCTAGCTACCACATCATGCAAAGGGAGGACACAGAACCTCGATAAATTTAACGTGCACAGGCTCCTCAACAAGGCGGGTCTTTAGTGACAAACTGACGGTACTCCGGCCAGGAATTCTTGAGCATAAACAATAGGCTATCGTAGCCACAATAATCTGTTTGCTACAGCAACTGAAGTGCTCTAAATATATATAGCGTAAAATCCGGAGTATAACGCACACTTTTAACGACGTTGTACGTCGGGTATAAAAATGAAAGCTTTAAAAATAAAGAGATGAGTATAAAAAAAATACATGTATCGAAATACTGTTTATTAAAACGAAATGATATTCTTTGTGAACTTAAGGGTTTGTATACTAGAAGTATACTATTTTTTTTCCCTACAGATTGGAATAATACCTCGAAAAAATGACTTCAAAATATTAAAGCATGCTCACGTACATTTCATGTTTCTTCGTAAACAAGTAATAAAAAAAAAATTTTTTTTGAAGTAAATTCCTACTTAGGTCAGAAGAGAAAAATTTTATTTTAGTTAATTTTTATTAAATAGTTACAATTAATATAAAAATGTGCATATATATATGACAGAATCACAATATTTAGTGACAAAATAGAAAGCGATTCTGCTTGCAATTTTCAATTTTCCTTTCTATGTATGGCATTGGACTATTTTTTTTGTTTGTAACTATTTATTCATTAAAATTATTCTAATGAAATACTACAGTTCAAAAAGAAATCCAATTCTCAGAAATTAGGCCATCTCAGGTGGGATTTGACCTTTGGATTAGAAGTCCAACACGCTATCCACTGCGCTACAAGGACGCAACGAACGATTTTCCTTTCTATATATGATGTTAGACTGTTATTTTTGTTACTATTTAGTCATTTTTTGATTTAATTCATTTTTTTATTTAGTCATTTTTTTATTGCATTTGAAAAAACTGTATTAATTTTAATTCCACTACCAGTCTAAAAAAATGTATTTGAACTTGAATGGATGAATAGAAAGTATTTTATTGACGATTGAAAATTTGAACACACACACAAGATTATATATATATATATATATATCTTGTGAGAGAGTGAAGGAGGGAGTGAACTAGTAGTAGGAATTGAAAAAGGGGGTACGCAATATACGCCGAATTTTACGGTATATATATATTTTTATATTAAACGTTTTCTAGTAGTAACCGATTAAACATGAAGCTTACAATCAACAAGTATAGATATTAAGGAAGGGAGACTTTAGGTTATAAATGCATTTTTTTCCACTTTAAAAGCCTATTTTTTTTTTCAATTTAAAATAGAAAAAATAATTTGTTGAACTAATTATACCACTTTACAAAATCCTTATGAGGATAATAAAAATGTAAGTTAGACATACATTTATATAAATGTGTGTATGTTAATACGTGAAGTTAATTATTCTGCGTTAGTACATCAGATTCAATTAATATCAATAGACCTCTCAGGAAGTTGTTTGAACTGATCGATTACCTACCTCGAAGCAACATGAGGTCTATTGGAGACGCATCTCATCATTTGTAAACGTCCACTGACGAGGAAGTCACCCCCTTCCCCAAGTTTTCCCACTATTCCACAAAGTGAGGACAAATGAACAGCCCATCTACAAAGCGGGTCTTTCGTAGCAACTCGACTCGATTGAACCACGAGTTCCCAAGCGAGACCATTTACATTCTGCAGCCTTAGAAACAACAAGCTGGAGGTTTGTCATTTCAGTCGCAATCCTCTCTCGCTAATAGCCCATTGAGTGATTTTGAGTTCGCTTCGATTTATTTGCATAGTAGTGCAAAAGTGTATTAGGCACTTCTCTGTCAAAAATAAAATGAAATATTTCTTTCCTTTGAGAACTGATTTGAGGAAAGACTGATTCATTCAGCGCGCATTAGAGTATCAAATGCTATCCCCACACACCAAAATTTAGTAACTTTCCATTCGATTGAATTCAAATTATTTTCATGAGAAGGAGTATAAATATCTAGTCAAGCCAACAGGTCTAATAAAGTTATAAAGGAGTTTAACTGAAAAAACTTGGCAATCAAATTTAAAACTAAATTTTCTTAAAATTTCACTTTACCTTCAAATGTAAAAAACGTATAGCCCCCTTTTTTTCCCTTCAAAATAATCATCTTTTGACTTCACAAGGGCTTTAAGTCTCTTTCACCAATCAGCTATTGAGGTACGCATTAACCTTATAGGAATTTCCGTCACTGCTCTTCCTTCAAGAACGTTTAACACTGTTTTCTGATGGGAAAACACTGTTTTCTGAAAATAGTTTTTGACATACCTTTACCTCCAATATTGACTATAATTTGTAACCAAGAATAGATTTAAATCCGATCTGCTGGAAGGCCTGTCTTTGTGCTCTATGAAGTCCAACACATCTGCTTTAAACCACCCTTAGGTCGTCTTTGCATCAGTGGTGCAAGTTGTTGTTGAAAAGCCCAGTTGTTTCCATTGAACAGACTTAAACTCAGGAACTTCATTGTTGATTCTAAGATAGTATCTTCTTAACTTTTACCGCCGTTTTCACTCTTGTCTTCTGAAAAACACAACGGTGGACGAAAGTTGAAGTTGAAGAACCATGAAAGTCGGATGTTGAAGAGGACCCGAAAACGCAAGACTACGCTGCCGCGCATAACATCCGAGATGAATACCACCTTCTGAACCCCTTATTCTTGAAAACTATTCAACGAGAATTGCATGCTGTGAATATTCACAGCAGAGTAGCTACTATTTCAAAATCGTTACTTACGCGCAGAAGGCTATAAAGGTACATTTGTCAATGTGTGGTAACCTCTGGTTACCCCTTACATCCGAACCCTCTTGTCTACCTGTAAACTCGGCTAGATGTGTGGGAGGAATAGAATGATCCACAAACATGTTTTCAATCTAACTAATCTATTAATTCTTATTATAGATCAGACACAATACAATTCTAATTAAGGTATATGAACTATGGTAGAGTGCAGAGGTGAGACTCTAATACGGGGATACTGTTACTGGCTCTCTAAGACAGCTTAAATGCGCTCAATTACAACTATGTCGCACACTAATAACTAGCTTCTATTTAATTAAGAACACAGTACCTGTACCTTTAATGTAGCGAATCCTACACTGTAACTTGCAGGCACTATCTTGGGCTTGTTCAATGTCGTAGGTTCCACGCTCCGCAATCCTTTTACTAATTCTCGAACTTCAAGATCTTTCCTACTTGCCCACATCAAACGTATCAACTTCAGCTTGTCAACAACAACGTGTCAACAGATCCCTTGCTCCCTTCCTTTCCTTCACTTGACTTGACCTCTTACTTCTCTTTCCTTGTCAACTCGCGAAAACCGAATTTATATAATATTCCTCATTTACATAAATCACGTTTGGTTTCTCGATGAACGTTGGTTGAAATAAATATTTGTTTTAAAGAGAAAAGAAGATATTAGTAGAACCGTCACAAATGTATGTGGTTATAATGCTTTTTGCTCTTCTGAGGGTCAAGGGGACTTCCGGTTGAGACGACTGGGTTCCTTGCTTGGCTTTTTGGTCGGCTCTCTTTTGTCCCAACATGACTTGGAACCCACTGTAAGGTCACAGTCCAGTCATATGAAATAAGCTCTGCAATTTTAGTTCCACACTGAATTGTGTTAAGGCAGTTGGTGTGTTACTGCTTAAGGCTGAAATAGCAGCTTGGGGTCGTTGAGGAGGACAACTTTTGCAAGGTCAGCAGCGAGTAACTGTGTTGTAGTTTCACAGACAACCGAGAATGAAGAAAAAAATTAAAAGAGCAATAAATCATTTTCTCTCACAGGATAGTGAAGTCAGAATATTATTGTAACGTTAAGCGTTTTACTATTCGGAAAAAGTGTGTGTCGGCTCCGACGCACGAATTTATATTTACGAAATGTCCTTAAAAATTTAGTCAGTCAAGATCTCAGACAAAGAGTTGAAGGTAAATTAGCATGCACAATAGTCACAAATTTAACTAGAACTGCATATACTGTAAAATTTATTTAAATGGGAAAAAAACTATGTGTGTCGGCTCCTATACACGACTGGAGTTTACTCCTTAAGTACGGTTGTCTTTGATTATACAGTTAGCAAACAGGGTAAATAAATGCATCTCATAATATTGAAACCATGCATGTATTTTCTTTATTCTGTTCTCATTTTTCCTATTTATTCGGTAAAATAATATACCTCAATTTTGTTACATAAATATGTTACTCATAGTACATGAGTACATTGTTAAAAAGGTTGATTTACTTCACTATTAATATCACTCTTTGAGTATTATTTATATTAATATTCTCAGCATTATTAATCACTGTGGCAAGAGGCTTGTGGTAACTAGAGTATAATACGTGATTTACCAATTGTGAAAACATGGCATCAGTGGTTGTACCATACTTAGTTGTCCCCCGTGCTCCTACCAGAAACAATATCCAAACTAAGCTCCGATTTAAAAAATTGTACGAACCTCAATCCATCTTTATCGAAATCAATATTGAAATCGCTGCAAATTATGAGTGGAAATTCAGGATATTTGTTTCTTCAGTAGAATTGAGTCACCTCCCGTATATGCCAAAGCTCACATTCATTATTTTATATATGTATAACAATAAATACTCTTAGAATTTAAAATAGTAAAATTGATTTGAAATCTTCATTATTTACATTCAGCATATAAGCAAATATCGAAAATGATAGAAATGTTTCAACGTTTGGTTCTTTCAATTGTTTCTTTCCGTACTTCATAAATTAAGAGAATGGTTGACAAACGAAAGAAATTTTTATGGAAAAATGGAAACGTATCTGATGTAAAATGAATTATAAAAAACAAACATATTCATCTATACAAATAAATGAAATTGAAGTATGTTTGTAATTTTGTATTAGCAGCTTTTTACTAAATGCATATAAAGGTATATACGGTACTTATATAAAAAATATCAATTTTTAAAATTTTTGTCTGTTTGTTCCGGCTAATCTCGGAAATGGCTGATCCGATTTTAAAAATTCTTTCGCCAATGGAAAGCTACATTATCAGAGAGTAACTAACGTAAGGTATATTTTATCTATATATTCCTACGGGAATGGGAACTATGCGGATAAAACCGTGGAACGTTGCTTACACCCCGCCAAGTTGGCACAAAATTATGCATTTGGTCAATAATGGAAATTTTAATAAAAATTTTGACTGAAACATAGTAAAATTTAGCATCTTTACAAAAAGCAATTTTTTAAATGGTTTTTTATTAAACACCTAACGTTTATTACGTTACGTTTGTTAAATGTCAAACTCAAACTTTGAGAAATATCGCCAAGTTGGCTAAGAAGTTCTTCAGGGTTTACAAGATAGTACAGATATTATAGGAGGAATGATAGCTTTATTATATATTGTCAGGGGAATTTTGAAAAACTCTTCCTGTAATCTAGAGAGGGTACACCGGCAGATGAAATCAGTATCTATTTAATCATCAAGCTTATGGGCAAAAGTTAAAAATTCAGTCTGAAAACGAATATGAGAGTGCATCTTCATAATGACGTAGATTCGGAACATTATGCAGAAAGGCAATTGAAAATCGGTTATGGATGTTTGGACGCAAGTGCTGGAGGTTATATTTTACTTCCAGAGAATTTTGTAATGTAGAAGAAAAAGATGTAAATCTTATTGCTCAAATTTACCCGGGCTTGCAACAAAATTTAAACTGGGATCAGTGGCTGCGCGCAAGATCAATATTGGCGACATTATCCATAAAATCCGAATGACATTATCCATAAAATCAACATTGAAAATTTGAACG